GCATTCCTCCAGGGGTTATGGGGGTGGCGGCAGGGCTGGGGTTGCTCCAGTTTATCTCCCCCGTGGCGTAAGCACAGCCTTGAGCAGGCTGGAGCGAAGGCAGGGATGTGCGAGCCAAGGCTGTGACCGTGAAAGCGTCCCAGCCGTCCCCCAAATCTCATCCCCAGGCTGGAGTCTGGCTGTAAGGAGCCGAAAGCGCCTGCAGGGCTGTTGGGGGTGGCCCCCAAACCAGGACCGGCTGGGTGTCATCCAGGGTCGGGATCTTCACACCCGGGACTCAAGCGGCCGTAAAGTCAAGTAGATGGGTTTGTCTGGGATCAGGATGAGGTCAAACTTGGTCCCGACTTCCACCGCTCTCATAGTTTCAATTTTAAAGTTCTCCAGAATCTTGCATGAAGGAGAAAAGAGCAGATGGGAAATGCTCTTTCCAACATCAACCTCCCTGGTCCCTGCCAGCACCAAGTCCCTGGGGTCCCCGGCAGCGGGATGCTCACCTGCATGAGGAAGAGCTGCATCTCCAGCTCAGCGATCCGGCGGCCCAGGCACTGCCGGGGCCCGAAACCGAACCCCAGCCCCTTGAAGGGCTTGGGGCCGGCTGCCAGCCAGCGCTGGGGGCTGAACTGCTCCGGCTTGGGGAAGACCTCAGGATCCCGGCCCATGGCGTAGAGACCGACCTGCACCAGTGTCTGTGGGGAAGGATGGGCCCTGTGGGGCTGGGCTCCCCACGTGGCTTTGCCAGTGTTCAGGGTGCAGGAAAGGGGTGCAGGGATGGGATCCAGACCCAGATGAGCCCCACAGCTGCTCCCCCCCATGTCACCCACCCATGCTCCAGGACCCACCTTCACCCAGAGCCCCATGCGAAGCAGGTTGGGGTGAGGAGGGACCTGGTGGCCCTGCTCACCTTGGGGGGGATGCGGTAGTCCTGGAGAATGACCTCTTGCGTGGTGTACCTCTGCAGGGTCACCGCCACGGGGTGCAGCCTGGGAGGACAGGTCACACACACCTGATTTTGGGGACAGCCTGGCCCACCCACATCCCACCTTGACACACAACGAACGTGCCAGCGATCTGGGGAGGGAAGGGGCTGGGGAGGGGAAAGGGTTTCAGTGGGGGCTCCTTCTCACCTGAGCGTCTCTTTGATGGCAGCTTTGAGCAGCCGGATGGTTTTCAGCATCTTCACCCTGTCCCCCGCTGCCTCCCGCTTGGCAGCCAGGACCTCTGCCCGCAGCTGCTCCTGGATCCCCGGGGACCGTGCCAGCTCAAACATGGCCCACTGCAGCGTCATGGAGGTCTGGAGCGGAGCAGGGGAGCAAGGCTCAACACCAGCCAGGACTTTCTCCCTGCCCAGCAACCCTGCCCGCTCCTTACCGTGTCCACCCCACCCGCCATCATCTCGGTGACGCTGGCCTTGATGTCATCCAAGGGCAGCTTGTCCTGCATGATGAGGCTGCAGAGGATGCCCATGTACTCCTTGGTGCTCTTGCGTTGCAGCCGCAGGTCCCGGTAGACATTTTGTATGCATTTGTCCGCTGAGGAGACATGGAGACACATTGTGGCCTTCCTCCCCCAGGGCCATGGTGGAGGAGGAAGACACCAGACGTGGCACCTTAGGACGTTGCTGCCCCAGGCTGGTGGTTTTTCCATGGGAGTTGCCCCTGCCGTGGCTTGGGACTGCAGTCCCTGTTGCAGGACCCAGCAGTGGCTGGGTGGGCACAGAGGATGGAGGGTGAGGATGCCCCACAGGGGGACACCCTGCAGGAGTGTTGTCCCAGGTGCCAAAAGCTCTCTGAAGCCACAAGCTCCTCTGGGAGAGCTGATCCCCTCAATGTGATACCCATCATCTGCCCCTCATTGCTTCTGGATGGTTTGCCACTGCTCCATCCCATAAGCTCAAGGTGTGAAAAGTCTTCCTGGCCTTGGTGACTCTGTTCTGGGTGGTTGGACCCAGGAAAAGATCTCTACGCTGGTGAGATGAGGCTGCACTATGGAGCCAGGTCCTCAGAAGGTCCTTGGGTGGCACGGGGAAGCACAGGCAGGAGGAGCACTCACCCTGGGAGAAGATGGCATCCCAGGCCTGGACATGGTCTCGCCACATCTTGGCGTTGAGGTGGCGGAGGAGGGCAGGTGGCACGTAGAGCATGGGCGAGGTGGTGTGGAACATCAGGGTCACGGCGTCGATGAAGCGCTGAGACTCAGGGTCCACGAAGTCCTGCAGCAGCCCCAGCCGCTCCCCATACAGCACGTGGCACACAGCTGTGAGCACAGCACCGGTGAGGGGCCCCATCTAGGGCCCCATCCCCTCCACCCTCCCATGGTCAACTGCAGCCTTCCCATGGCTTTGAGGACCTGGCTTGGCCTCCTGCTCCCTCTGCGCATCAGGGGGCCATGAAGGCATCTCTTATTGGGTAGGGTTGGCTACCAGTTGATGATTGGTAGGTGATAAAACTGTTTTATCAACAGTGATGAGTTGTTCTCTACTTGTCTGAGGAGAGGACATCCCTCTAGAACCTACAGTTCTGGGGGAGAAGCTTGTTTGCCCATCTGCCCTCTGCAGATGAAGCTCTGGGAAATGCAGCATCTTACCCATCTCAGGCACCCTGCAAAAGCATGTTCAGTGTGGGGGACACGTCTTACAGAGACTCCTGCCCTGACACTCACACTCCAGGGCGAAGCGGAAGAGCTCATGGGTGAAGTCAGCTGTCCAGTGCTCCCGGCCGCTCTTCCCCACCTGGGCTTGTGCCCGCCGGACAAAGTCCTCGCCCACTTCGCTCAGCAGAGGCACGAAACCCTCCACCACCTGCGGCGACAGCACCTCCTTGTTCAGCATCAGGCGGTCGGAGCGCCAGGCCTCCCCTTTCCTGCGGGACACCAAGTGGGGAGGTCAGAGGCATCTCCCCCATCCACCCCCCTGGACGATGCCACACCCCAAAGTACGGGACCAGCCAATGTCCCCATCACCCTCCTCATGCTCCAGCTTCTCACCACCCCATGTGTCGGGGCTATCGCGATAGGACCTGGCAGCCCCATTTTGGGGGGACTCCACAGCCCCTCGACTCACTTGAGGAGCACGCCGTAGGGCTTGTTGCGGTAGTCGCGGTAAGCCACCCAGGGGGGCACGCTGAAGCGCTCCGGCAGTGTCCCCTCAGCCTGGAAAAGGGTGGCAGCATCCTGGGGGCTGATGATGTTCACGCTCTCATAGACACCCAGCTTCTCCCTGCCGGGGCACACAGTGGGGTCAGCCCCACACCCTGACCCTCATTCCCACAGCCCTTCCCTCCCCAGATCAACCACCTTCCCCAGCACCCCCAAATCAACCACTGTCCCCCTTGCATCCCTTAAAATGCTCTTTGCAGGTCCCATCCTGTGGGATGCAGTGGCTCAGCACAAGGATCAGGCCCCCAGGGCTCAGGCAGGCATAGCGGGGAGTGCTGGACCTGAGCCCCTCCTGCTTCCCCCTCTGCCTGGGTATTTCAGCTCCAGACCCGGTGGAGATTGAGGGGAGAAGAGCCCCTCTCCATTCCCCCCACTCCCGACAAGCCACATCTGCAAGGCATGAGTAGGTCTTCCCTCTTGCCTCTCACCATGGCATCAAGCCTGGCCAGTGCACAGCAAGCCAGGCTGCTCCAGCAGCTCAGCCACCCACCTCTCACCTGGAGCAGGACTGGGAATAGCAGCAGCATCCCAGACTGGAAAGGCTTCCAGAGCTGGGGAGCAGAGGGGGGGGTGGGGGTGGGG